CCTTTGATAAAAGAGCAAAAATATGAAATAAAGCAAGGGTGTCCTCTTCAATAAGTAGTTCTATGGAAACTAGTTATTCATGTAATAAAAAATGAACTCAGCCCTCTTTCTAATGCCATGCACAAAAGTTAGATCATAATGGATTAAAGACCTCAATATTAGACATGAATTCATAAGGTACATAGAGAAAAATGTAGGCAGAATTCTCCAGGACATTAAAACTAAAGGAAACTTTAAGGATTAAACACCACTGACCAAGCAAGTGGAAACAAAAATAAACAAATGGGACTACATTCATTTAAGAAGCTTCTGCACCTCAAAGGAAATGATGGTCAGAATACAAAGACAGTTCACAGACTGGGAAAAATTATTTGCCTACCACTCATCTGGTAAAGGGTTAATATCAAAGCTATATAACATTGGTAGAACTTCACAAGAAAAAAAATACAACCCCATCCAAAAAATGGGGAGAAGAGATGATCAGAAACTTCCTCAAAGAAGAAACATAAATGACGAAAAGGCATTATTAAAAATGCTCTAGATCAATAATCTAGAGTAAATCGATGAGGAACGGATGTCAAGTAATCAAGTGATCAATAATCATGAAAATGCATATCCAAATAACAATGAGATATCGCCTCACACCGCAGAGACTGACGCACATCAAAAAGGACAAGAAGAAACAGTGTTGGCATGCATGGAGGGAGGAAGAGACCCTCATTGATTCCCAGTGAGAATGTCATTTGATCCAGCCTTTTTAGAAGACAATATGGACATTTATCAAAAAACTAGGAATTAAGGTTTTATATTACTCAGAAATTCCACTGCTGGGAATATATCCCAAGGGCTAAAAAATACAATGCAGAAAAGCCATCTGCACTCCCGTGTTCCTTGCAGCACTGTTCACAATAGCCAAATCTGGAAACAACCCAAGTGCACAAGAACAATCGAATGGATAAAAAAGCTATGGTACGTCTACACAATGGAATACTACTCAGCTCTAAGGAAAGATGAAGTCAGGCAATTTGCTGCTAAATGGATGCATCTGGAGAGTATCATGCTGAGTGAAATGACTCAGAGGGAGAGGGACAGACATAATAATCTCACTCATATGCAAGTATAAGTATACATAGTAGGGGAATAACTAACACCCAAAGGCAGCAGAAAGAACGACCAGGAGAACTGGGCTTAGTAGGAAACTGGCCAGTCAGATTGTTGATGGGGTGGGGGGGTGGGGATATAGCTACAGAAGGGACCACCACAGCAATCTAGAGGAAAGGTCACTTTGGACCAGGACTAGGTACTGAAAGGGGGTAATGGGATACACATGATACCCTATCAGTAACAGTGTTGTAAACCAGAGCCTAAAAAAGAAAAAAAAATGGGAAAAGAGCTTGCTGCAGATGGGTGTGGGAGAGAAACCAGCAGCATTGGTGGGGGGAGTGGACACTGGCAAAGGAATTCATGTTGGAACATTGCAAGCTTGCAACTAAATCATGAATAACTTCATAACTTTGTAATTCACAGTGATTCAACAAAAATGTAGTTTTTTTTCCAAAAAAGAATATGTGCAGGCTAGGGAGACAGTACAGCTGGATAGCATGCTTGCCATGTATGCGGCAAGTCTAGATTAGGCCATCATCACTTGCATATAGTTCCCGAAGCGTCACCAGCAGGGATCCCTGAGCACAGAGCCAGGAGTAAGCCCTGAGGACTGCTGAGTGTGACCCCCACAAACCAACACACACACACACACACACAGAGTCAATAATATTCACTTTTGCAAGTAAATGACAAGTTTTTCAGAGAGCTAAAGGGGTACTGAATTAGTACTCAGAACTTCCCCAGAACTGCAGAAGTTCGCACAGACATTCCACACATGGAAACAGGATAATCTGGTCTTTCTTTAAGCCTTAATATGTATACAAGAGTAGCTGGATCCCTGCCACATTTTCTTTAGTTGTAGCAAGACAAAATGAAGAATGATTGTGTTTCTGAGACACAGCCCAGGAGGAACTGGGGGTTTTGTCACTTTCCTTTCAACATTTTTCTTCCTTCCCCTGAAGGTATCTTCTCTCCCTCCCCCTCCCTATCTAGCAATTCTTGCCAACAACTTCATACTACACAAATCCTCACTAATTAAAAGCTCAATACTGCTGCAAAACACAGATTCTTAGGCCACAGTCATTCGGGGAAGAGTCTTGTCCTTTCAAAAAAGGTTACGCTCCCCATGCCAAAAAAAAACCAGCAGTTCTTTGGCTGAGTTTGGATGAAAATAACAGCCAAGGTGACTCAAAAGTCCCCTAACAGCAGAGGTCAGAGATCTTGGCGTTTTACTAAGTGACAATAGGAAGTCGTCAAGAGCCCTAGTGAGCACACAACGAAGGGACCTTTTCAATAACTTCCTTTTTCAATAAGTTTCAATAAGTTTCAATAAGTTTTTCAATAACCTTTTTCAATAAGTTCCTCAAACGGTCCGCAATTTACTCAGCCCAAGCATTAGAACAGTCCTGCCGATTCAGAAAACCAAGACACGCATGCAGGCATGCTTGGAAATCCTCACTGGATGAAAACACCTGGGAAGCCAGCCAAAAGGCTCCTCCTACCAGGACTGAAGCTTGGGACTCGCCCAAAATTGCTCCAGGAAATCTGATGGGTTCCCAAGAATTCTACCTCAGGAATACAGGGACACCTCACCAACAGGAGTCCCATCCTTCCCAGGGACGCCCAGGAGGCGGGGCTGCAGGGGAGTGAAGGGAGGTCTGGATAGACTCAGGGCTTCACACTCTCCCTCCCCCGCACCCCGCCGCAGAAGAAGCAGATGCCCAGTGTTGACTAAGACAGTCTCCTCTACGTCCTGGATAAACCTTGCGAACATTTTGGTGAAAGAAGCCAGTCACAAAGGACCACACACGTATTGCGAGCTTCGTCAACAGAAAATGGTTGCCAGGGGGCTGGGGTGTTAGGGGAACAGGTGAGGAAGATGTTGGTCCTTACTCCTCATCATTAAGGAATTTCTTGAGAGGAGGGGGTGATAAAAATGTTCGAAACTGGCAGTACAAGTGATGGTTGCACAGGTCAGTGGATACACAAAAATGTCCACAGTTGTAAATGAGTATGGTAGATGATGTATCTCAATAAATCTTTTTTTTTTTTTTTGCATTTTTGGGTCACACCCGGCGATGCTCAGGGGTTACTCCTGGCTCTGCACTTAGGAATTACTCCTGACGGTGCTCAGGGGACCATATGGGATGCTGGGGGATTGAACCTGGGTCAGACATGTTCAAGGCAAACGCCCTACCCGCTGTGCTATAGTTCCAGCTCCTAAATCTATTTTCTATTTAAAAAAAAAAAGCTATCCTAAATGGGGCCAGATGTTATAGGGACATCTGGGTTCTTATCTTGCATGCAGCTGACCTGGTTCTCTCCCCTGAAAAGCATACGGTGTGTCCCCCTGCATCACCCCCAAGTATCCTCATGGAAGGACATCCCTGGAGGCCCTGAGCACTTCAGGGTGGCCTGTGTAATCCCAAGCACAACCCAAGCCAGTACCACATCCTTGTGCCTGATCACTGGTAGGAAGGGCCGCAGGGGCGGTAGGACACTCCTTTGGAGACCTCCCAACAACCCAAAAATCTTTCCCCAAGTCTTTCTTACAGTAACCAACCCATGGGAGTCAGATTGGAAGGAAATTCACCCCCAAATCCAGATGCAGTCTAATCACTCCTCCTGATGCATGTATTCAAAATGTTCCAGTGACTTCTCTTCTTGCAGAACTGGGCCACTAGGTCCCAAAGAGAACCATCTCCACACTGCACCCCGCTTCTTCCCATTTGCTAGATTTGAATCTTAACCACTGGCTGCAACTCTGTCCCTTATGCATGAGACTTCCTGAGTCCTCAGCAGGGACATCTAGGGAAAAGTTTTTTGCTTCTGCCATTCACAAGCCACCAAGACACCCCTTTGCTGCCTTTCCAAAGCTTCCAGAGGGAATGAACGAGGCGCTTCTAGCAGCAGTTCCATTAACTACTGCATTGTGAGATTGGGGGTGGAGAATCCCAAGCCCTGGCAGAGAGATCCCGGCGCTCCACTTGGGCCCCCAAAGCTAAAGAGAGAGAATTCATGATCTTGGACTTGAGGCAGAGGCGTTTGCCCCGACGAAGACCACCCAGGGATCCCTCCCCAGCCGCTCTGGGCCCGCGCTCTGGCACCCGGCGAGCCAAATCCTAACTCCCATATGCGCCTTTGGCGCTACCTACTTGGCCGCTCCAATCAGGAAGGGGTTCAGAGAAATAAAGAGGTGGGAGGAAAAGCCTGTAAAACCACAGCCTGGTTTGCGTGTCAAAGCGCGACTTCCAGTATGCAGGCGCAAAGCAACACGCATGAGAAACATCTGGGCTTCCCAAGGCAAAAAAAAACAGCGCCCACAGCCAACGTCTTCCAACATTGCGCCCAGCCTACGGGCTCCTCCTTGCCTGGTTGCCGAGCGCTAATCGGGGAGGGACCAAGCGCTGAGCGAGTCTAGTCCTATACGATGGGCCAAACGATTCCCAATACAACCTGTTTACTAAAAACAATTAAAAAAAATTTTTTTAAAGACGGCGCGTTTTCTTTCTCCAAAAGAAGTCCCAAGGAACCTCAACTTCGAGCCTTTGAAACCAACCCGTCTCAAAGCCAAACCCTCTTCTTCCTTCCTCCCCAAACTCAAGCTAAAGCTCCCGGGGAAAGCTACGACCCTTCCCTGTCCCTGCATGTATTCGCGTCCCAGAGCGTCTCTGAGCTCTCTCCCGAGAGATCCTCTGCAGAAAACGTCCAAATGCATCCGCCCACAGCCTCCCAGAGGTCTCGGGGGCATCTGGACGCGCAAAGGTTGGGGGTCCCCTAGGGGGTCCATGCAATTAACTGCATTGCGTTGGCAGGTCACAGGCCCTCGCGTCTCCCTTCCTCGCACACAGGCTTTGCGAAGTCGATCCCGGGCACAGAGGCAGGTTGGCACTGACCTGTGCTCGGCCCGGCTCCAGCCAGGTTACGGACCTCCGGGCGGCTTGTGGTCTCGCTGCTCGCTTCCCCCCGGGTGCCCTTTGGAACTCGCCTCTTCTCCCTCTCGCTCTCGGCTCTTGCTCCCGGAGCCGCGGTCGGCCCTCCTGCGCTCCCCTCCAGCCCGACGCCCCGCAGGACCAGATAAGAGGAAAGTGAGGTCCCGCCGGCGGCCAATTGGAGAGGGGAAGGTGGCCTCGGGGGCGGGGGTTGGGGTGGGGGGGCAGGTCTAAATCCCCAGCCCCCCACCTCACTTTAATCTCCTCCCCCACCCCCCACCCCGCGGGAGATGCTCCCTCGAGTCCGCCCCTCGCCCGCCCGCGCCACGCCCCTTCCCTGGCCCGCGTCTGCCCCAGGTGCACTCACTGCCCCGAGCGCGGGAAAGTCTCGCTCGGGCAGCGCCATCCCGCCGGGTATGGGTGCGTTGGACCTGGCGGTGCGGTCGCTCTGGGAGGGGGCGACCCCGTCGGTTCCCACCCACCTAGAACGTCCGTGGTTCCCAGCATCCAGGTCCCCGCACCCAGTGGGGTCCCCTTGAGTCCACCCTCCGCCGTGCCTTTTCTGAACCGTTCCAAATACAGACTATTTTTAACCAAGTAAGGACCTGGGCTCGGGCTTCCTGGTGGGCGTGAGACCCCAGATTTCAACCCCAGGCACATCAGTCAAATGCATCTTTGGCAAGTCAAACGCTCGAGCGCGGCACTCGGGTTTGAACGCGCTGGAGCATCTTTGGGGAGGGTGAAACCGACAGTTTTGGACCGAGTGTAACAGATTCCTGGGGTTGGGACCCTCACCTGCAGAGATTCTCTAGGGCTCCTAATCCAACCCGTCTGGGCTGAGCCCGGGGATTCTGCATTTAGAAATGCTTTCGGTCGTTCCCATTCACGCGCCACTCCTGGCGAGACGGTCCGCCGCGTATTGGGACACGCGATGTGCTCCCGCCCGACCCGCGGGTTTTTGGCGCACTCGGCCGTCCGGTACCCAGGCCCTCTGTCCCAGCTAGAATCACCGTCACCAGAGAGATAGATAGTACAGTGAGTAGGGCGCTTGCTTTACACGCGGCCGACCCCAGCCCGCCGGGAGGGATCCCTGAGCTCAGGATTAAGCCCTGGGCATCTCGGGGTGCTGCGCGAAAATCAGCAGTCATCACTGCTCCCCGTTTTAGAACTCTGGGAAGCCCCGCTCCACCACTCCCACCCCGCGGGTTAGGCTGCGCTTTTCTGTCCGCGCAAACATGTTGGGGAAGGAGGTATAGACAGAACTTAACAAAGTGCCACTCTTACAAAAAAACAATTTTTCTCTCCTAGGAAAAGGAAGGAAGGGAGGGAGGGAGGGAGGAAGGAAGGAAGGAAGGAAGGAAGGAAGGAAGGAAGGAAGGAAGGAAAGAGAGAGAGAAGGGAGGAAGGAAGGAAGGAAGGAAAGAAAGAAAGAAAGAAAGAAAGAAAGAAAGAAAGAAAGAAAGAAAGAAAGAGAAGGGAGGAAGGAAGGAAGGAGGGAGGGAGGGAGGGAGGGAGGAAGGAAGGAAGGAAAGAAAGAAAGAGAGAGAGAGAAGGGAGGAAGGAAGGAAGGAAGGAAAGAAAGAAAGAAAGAAAGAAAGAAAGAAAGAAAGAAAGAAAGAAAGAAAGAAAGAGAAGGGAGGAAGGAAGGAAGGAAGGAAGGAAGGAAGGAGGGAGGGAGGGAGGGAGGGAGGGAGGGAGGGAGGGAGGAAGGAAGGAAGGAAGGAAGGAAGGAAGGAAGGAAGGAAGGAAGGAAGGAGGAAAAGGCGGGGGTGGGTGGTGGGGATATCCCGGCAACTGCTTCCAGCACGCTCAGCTGAAACTCCAGATAGCAGGTCTGTGCCTTTTGCAATCTTGCTCCGGGAGGGCCCGTGGGGCCCTTCCCGAGGCGGGGGACGTCTAAACTGCCGCGAACCTGGCATCTGCCTAGTCCTTGCTCTGTCCTTCCCCACTGCGCCTGCGGCTGCACTGGCCAGGGTGGGCTCCGAACCCCCCACAGCCGCCCCGGGCGTCCATTGGCTCTTTTCCAACTTGGCTTCAGCTCAGCCCCGGGGCGCGGTCGCAGCGAGGCGCCGCTTTGCCTCCGCGCTCGGCTGCACGCGGTTCGCCCGGGTCAGGCGACCCGGGACGGGGACACCAGCTCGGGACACCCGTATGCAAGGACGCGAGCGCCCCCTGGTGCCGCTAAGACGGCACTGGGCTAAAGCGGGAACTGCCAAGTCCGGGGCAGTCTCGGGCAGTTGGCCTTGGGCTGGAGTCCTGGAATGCAGGGTTTTCCCCCCTGGAGACGAGGACCGCCGCAGAGCCGGCCCTCCCTCTGCTTCCCAGGCTCCCCACTGCCTTCGTGGCTGTCTCTTCTCCCCACTAAGAGAATCTTACATCCCTCGTTTTCACTAAGATGAAGCTATCTACGGTAATAATCGCAGATTAGCCGTACATTATTGGCAAACCTGGAGTAAAAGTAGCTAAGATCAACTTAGAGGAAACGGAAAATGAGACACTCCCTGATGGTATTAAAATGTGAGATATGTGTGCAAAAGTCAACCGACAGCATATGGAAAGGCATCTTTATTCCATTAAAATTTTTGATGTACATGAGCTACGTTAAAGGCTATTTGTTACAATCTGAGTCATCTGTCCTCAACTTCTTTAACTTTTGACTTCTTGCCCCTCATTTTCAGTGGAGATATGTTCCCGAGGATGCTGAATCAGAATGGGTGGTCGCGATCAAATTTCCATTTGCTGATAGCTGTGTGTGAATTTCCAGCCCCTTCAAAAAAGTATTCAACACTCATCTTAGAGTCAGCCCTTGGAGTGTCTAGAGCATTGAGAACTTAATCACAGAAACAAGACGGAGGATGCCTCCCCTCTACCTCCAGTCTCAAAGAAATTACATCTGAAGGTTTCTATGAATATCTTCAGTCTTTCAAAGGAGATCCCAAATGCCCCGCTTCTCACAGCTATTGCTTCCAGGAAACCACAGCTCTTACCTAGACTACCACTCTGAGTTTGTGATGTGACTGTGATATTTTTTCTGGACCATACACACATACACACGTATATACATATGCACATATATACACAGCATACATGCATGCGGGGTTTTGGGGCATATGTTCATACACCTGTGCCCACATACACACATACCACATACATACAGATACATCCACACACAGCTGTGTCTTCTCCTCTTAGACCCTGTCCTTGTAGATAGACTTTGGACTCAAACTTGGCTTCTTATAGATAGACTTTGGACTCAAACTTGGCTTGTTTTGTTGGTTTTGTTTTTAGCCACACCCCTCAGTGCTCAGTACTTACTCCTGGCTCGGCACTCAAGAATCACTCCTGGCAGTGTCCAGGGGACCATACGGGATGCTGAGGATGCTGCCTCGTTCTAAGCAAACACCCTACTATTGCTCCAGCCTATGGACACAAACTAGTATGGAAGAGATAAAGGTGCTGCCCCTAGCTTGTCTCACTTTGTGAGGTGACTGCCTTTTGGAGTCGAATGCTTCATATAAGAAGCAGACAAAGAATTGCATTTCAGGGAATGAACATGCAGTTTAATGGCAAATGTGTTGTGGTAAGAATCCCTGCCCAATAAGTGGCCTCGATCTCACTCAAAGTTGAACTATCCCTCTCCACTCTAATCCCCCTTGCACGTGGCTAGACTTCTTCAGCCGTCCCTTCTGCAAAATTCTCCTGGCAATATGAACAGAGGCACTATTATTGGCCTTTTCGGAGGAAAACATAACTGTCCCAGACACTGTAGATGTTTGTGATCTCTGGTCTCATCACCAGATTCTAGAAGCACCCTCAACATTACCCCCCCACACACAAAAACACACCTCCTAGTTGTGAAAACTGAGGATTCTACCAGGCATTTCCCCTACTTTCTTGCAAATCAAAATGCCCAGCTTCCTGAGGTCCTTGTGTATGTACTCCTACCTCTCCAAAACAGCCAGGAACATGCTTCCATCAGCCTCCGTTCCCCTGGATTGGTTACAGACCTAGTAGACAGGCATCAGCTGATACTCCTATACCCTCCGGTGAGAACTAAAATGCTGTTTTTATAAACTATATAACATATGATCATTACCTGAACTCGAACTTCCCCTCTAAGCTGAGGGCACCTACTTAAATTATAAGGTGGTGGGAGGGGGTTATGCCATAAGGGCACTGCTCTAACCAATGATATTAGTGCCTTAAAAGAGAGAGATTTCAGGGGTTGGGACAATAGTACAACAAGTAGGATGCTTGCCTCAGAATCAATGCGTGGGATTAACCTATGTTCTATCCCTGGAACCCCATGTGCCCACTGAACCTGTCCAGGAGTGGTTCCTGAGTGTATACCCAGAGTAAACCCTGGGCACCACTCTGTATAGCCCTCAAATAAAAACAAACAAAAAAAAAAAGAAAGGAGGGAGGAGATTTCAAGAACCCCCATTCCCCTTCTACCATGCGAGAATAGAACAAGATGCCTGGGCACCAGAAGGACCCAGAAGAGAACCCTCATTCTTAGATGTCATGTTGACACTCTGTGTCAAACTTCCAGCAACCAGTCGTTGAAAACTAAAATGCTGTTTTTATGAATGATGTAACGTATGATCATTACCTGAATTCAAACTTCCCCTGTAAGCTGAGGGCCCCTACTTAAATTATAAGTCCCAGCATGCCTTCCAACCAGGCTATGCCTGCACCATCTCATCATTCAATCTTTCTATTCATGTGGTCGAAGGTCAGAGAATCTTTTACTCCCCTTCTCCCGGAAGCTCCATCTCTAAGACAAAGCTTTATTCTCCCTGAGCTTTGTTCTCTGAGACACCCCCATTTTGGCAAATTCTGATTTCTTATTCTGCTAACCAAGGATCCCACCTGAGTCCATCCTGAAGCAAGGACAGAGGCCTGAGACGTGACCCAAGCTTTCCCAAAGGATGACAATAAAGGCAACACTACATGCAACTATGTAAACCAGGCCAGCGCCGCTCCACAAAAATTGTTCTTCCACATTTGCAGAAATCACCAACAAAACCTCCTATGCTTGTGTTAGGC